ATTGCCTTTATAATTATTTTTAATTTATACAAATATTAATAAAATCAAATAAACGAACAAAATATTTTAAATAGTAAAAACTAAAATAATTAATTAAATATAATTATTTTTTATTTAATTACCAAAAAATATATTTTAGTTTATAAATTCTGTAACATTTCACTGCTCTTGAGGAAAAATAAGCTTTTTCAATAGTTTGATGATATCTAAAAAAATAATATTTAAATTAATTTTAAATTAAAAAAATGTTAATCTATAAAAATATAGTAACAGAAAAACTTCTTTTTTCTAAATTAATATTGAAGTTAAGGTTAAAATTTGTAAAAAAATTTAGATTTTATTATTTACTAAAGAAGTTCAAAAAATAAGGGATCAATTTTAAGAAAATTACAATTAGTTTAAATTAATTATGAATTTAACAGGCTTATCTATCAAACTCATAACAAACCAAAAATTTTGTTTGAATTAAAGGAAAAATAAAAATTACTAATTTTAATAATTATTTTATTTTTTAAATGTAAAATAAAAAAAAGATTGAATATTATTGATAATTATTAATTTTACTTTAAGCTATTGATATTACTTTTGAAATTATGCAATTCTTTTTTAATAAATGTAGCTGCCTTTGAACATATAAAATTGAAACTTTTTTAATATTTTAAATAATTTAAATAAAAATATACAGAAATTAAATCTATTAAATTTATTAAAATTTATGAAGAATAACTTATATAATAAATAAATTACTCTAAATGAAGATCTAATTATTCCATTTCAATACTCACTTTATTTTACCTAAAAAAATATTGAATAAAAAATATAAATCAAAAGATTAGCTAATTAACTAAATAATTAATTTACTTCAAACTAAGGACATGATTTTTAACATATTGATTGATTTTTTTAAAACTTTTAAAATAATAATCTTTATTAAATGGTTAGCTTATTTTAATTTATTTTTTTTTTAAAATGTAAGATTAACTAATTAAGATTTTATATATACACTAATATTTCAAAGTATTCCAATGTTAAATATATTAAAATAAGTAGAGTAAAATATTTTTTTAAATAATATTTCAAGAATAAAAATATAAGGGAGTACCTTAATATTTGAATTTGTACAGTAAATAAATAATAATTATTTAATTTAGAAAAAATAATATCTTTATATTAATTACATTAGATTAAGCTTGAATTAACTTTATTATTTTTTTTATAAATATTGAGCAATATTTTGAGCTGTAGTAGTATAAATATTTTGCCAACTATTCATATTTTAAATATTTTTATATTTGATTATTTATTTAATAGCATTAAAATTAATATGTATAAAGATCAACAAAATAAATGTGAATTAAGAACTTAAAAAATATATTACTTTATCTAAATTTCTGGTAGAGTAATCTATTTTAATTGATTTGGACTTCTAAAATCGTTTATATTAAAATTTGTGTCTAAACTAATTAATAATAAATTTCATTTAAAGAGGAGCAAATTAATTAAAAGTAAAAAAAATAACTAGCTTATTTAAATATATATTTTTAATTAAAGAAAAATATTGATTCATCTACTGTCTAACTAATAAATATCAAAATATAGTAAAAAAATAGATTTTTACCTTGAAGTACTATTTAATTTTAATTAACTAGTATTTTCACTTTAATCTAGATACTCTCCAGTTATGTCAGATATAATACATTATACCTTTGTTTTTCTAAAATTTTTGGTTTTCAGATGTTAAAGAAAATAAGAATCATTAAACAAATAAAAGTGATATATGAGTAAAGAAAGCAATCAATAGAGCTATTATTTTACAAAAATAAGAAAAAAGAAATTGTTACAAACGTTTATATCTATAGAAAGTATGCTAAAATTTCTGTTAAAATAAATATTATCTCTTTTCATAATTTAGATTCTACTTTTGGTATCTATCACTTAGATCATTTGAATAAAAATCTTAAATATCTTTAAATTCTTTTTAAAAGGTGGAAGAATTTTTAAGGTCTTTAAAGAATCTATCTATTTAACTAAATGAAATAAAAATTAAATTAAATATTTTAAAATAATGAAATGAAGAAATGAGTCTAATTAATTAATTATTTATTTAATTTAACTCTAAAAAAATAACTAGCTATAAAATATTTTTATTTTTATACAAATTTTTATATTTATAAGAGTTATTATAAAGTGATCATGTTTTTATTAATAAATTAAAATATTTATTTAAATTACTGTTCAAAATTTACTCATTCAAGTAAAATATATAAAAAATTTTAAAATTAAATTTTGATTCACTTTGATTAATTAATTAATTTGAAATTAACAAATAAAGCTTACTTACTTAAACTTTTGATTATTACTAACAAAACCTCAAAAATTATTTGGTAAAAGAGTTAAATTAATTGAATTCACAATTATTATTTTTTTTTTTGGTAAATATTATAGTTTACTGAAATAATTATTAGAAAATTACTTTTAATCAACATAATGAATAAAATTCTCTGGGATAATTTCTAAATAATTATAATCCTCTATCTTCTGAATCAATTCTTTAAGATATTTTTTTTTACTATTTTTAGTCTCTTCATTTTCTTTAAACCTATCATTATCAATACTTTTTTAATTAAAATAAAAGAATTATTTTTGACCTTTTAAAGTCAATAGATAAAATAAAATCTACTTTAAATCAAATTTTAATGAAGTAAGTGCTCTACATTGACTAGCTAAAGCATAAAAATCGTAAATAGACGTTAGATTGTTCTATATCCTATATAATATTAAATGTAATTTCATTGAATTTAAATTTTAAGTATTTATTAAAATCAGCTTAAATTTATTACTATTGTTTATAGTTTAATTAAACAATATCATGGTTTTTTACCATAATTATTAATTTTTTTATAATTTCATTTAAAATAATTTTAAATAGTTAAGTTGTTAATTTTAGAATGAATAATAATATTAATTTATTATTTTGTCTTGAAAAAGTGAGTTAAATTGTAAATAATTTACTATTAAATAAATATTAAATAATTTACCATCCTAATTTAACATTTAATTCAGTAATTCTTGGGCACATCTACTTAAAATCATAAAATTTTGTTTATATATATCCATTTATTTAGTGTTGTAACTCAGATTGTTATCCACTATTAAAATAATGAAAATAAAATAAACATAATTTTTATTTATGACCAGTGATCAATTATTTTTAAAATAGCAAATTGATATAGCCAGAAATTAATAATATAGATGATTAAATAAAAAATAATTAAAAAAATTATTAAATCATTTTATATTATAAAAATTTATATAATTTCATAATAATTTAGACATCTAATATTTACCAAATTTAAAAAATCTATCAAATATTTTAAATACATAAAATCATATTGATTTTATTTATTAATTTACAAATGAAGAAAATTAAAAATATGATTTAGAATAAAAATTAGATAACTATCTAATTTAATAAAATTAATTACCTAAAATCGAGTGTTAATTCAGTGTTGTTATTTAGAATTTTACTTTCCTTAAGCCATTTAAAATAAAAACTCAATTAATATTCATATAAATTAAAATCTAATTTGAATTAGAGAGATTGTACTTTTCTCAAATTTGATCTAAAAAAAGTAAATTATGAATCATATAATAAGCTATAATCATCACTAAACTCACTATGATATTTTATTTAATAAAATAAAATAATTTTAATAAATATGTCTTTGAGCAATTAATAAATAATAAAAAATTTATCATAAAAATTATTTAATTTTTAGTAAAACATTTAAAATATAAAAAATATGAAGAATTTTAAAAAATATTAAATTTATAAAATATAATTAATTATTGAATTAAATTAACCAAATAATTTTACGATATTCTTAAAGTTAAAGATCCTTCCTTCTCTAATTAATAGCTAAATTCATTTTTATCTTTTCCTAATATTTCAATATTCAAATTCGTAATTTCTTCATACTTCTCTTTTTTATGCAAGCTTTATTTTAATTTAATAATAACTAAAATTAAATATTGACAAAAAAAATTATTTAAAATCAATAAATTTAAATTTCTTAAGAAGCAAAACGATTTTAATTAAAATAATTACTTTTTTAGATCGTAATTTATCATATTAGAAAAATTGAGCTAAGAATTAAATGATTCAACCTCTTCATTGAATTTTTCCAAAGAACCAAAATAATTTAGACTCATTTTTTTGCTTTCAAAGTATGTTATGAAATTAAGTGAGCTCATTGTTTCTTTTTGATTTTAAGGTATCTCATTATTTGTATCATTTTCATTTTCTTCGTTATTCTTAAAAATTGTTTTTTCAATAAGACTTATTGATTAAATTATTTGTTTTTCTTTGTATCTAATTTCTTCATTAAAAAACTAATAATTTTTTATATTATTTCTTTTCAGATATTTTTCATAGTAATTAAGTTTTTTGTATAAAACATATTCTTAATATGGCAATTAGTTATTATCTTCTATTTTAACCATTATATTTTTATATTTTTTTTCTAAATTATCTAAAATATCCTTACATTTATCAAAGCTATAAATATTTTATAGCTTTATAAATATTGAATATAATTACCAAATACTTTTATCAAATTAAATTTATAAATTTGATTTTAGCTTAACGTCATTCAAGCAATTCCAAATAATTTATGGCAAGAGTTAAATTTCTTTTTCATATTTAACATATAATTTAATGTCTAGCCATTTATTTTATAAAAGAAATTTGTAAAGATATAAGCCCATTTCTTTTAGTAATTTTTATTTGTAATAAGAATCCTGATTCGTTTTATCATTTTGAATAAATTAAATTAAATTGTAAAGAGATTAGCCATAACAATTTTATTTTCTTAAATACCTAATCAATTTGATAATTATCCTACAAACCATATCAAACTCCTATTTTTTAACTTATTTTTTTAGAGAATCATACAAATTTGTAATAATTGGATATATATCATTTGATTTTAGCAATAGAAGCTCTATTATCTTTATTTTTAATTTATCAAATTCTTCACCTTTATTAACTAATTTAATTAATTTAATCAATTTATTTTAATTTTCTTAGGATAATTTTATCTTATTATTTAGATTTATTAAGATCTTAGTTACAATTCTAATTGATTTTATTAGGATTTCTGACTAGCTATTATCTTTAAAATCTTCTCTAAAAATTTCATTAATATATTCGAGAGATTCTTTATATTGTTTTCTTTTACATAAAATATAACTTTTAGTTATCAGTGCCTTTGCCTTAATTTTAATTGAAGTTAACTGACTCTGCTAATTGCTAACTTAACTTATCTATGAAATAATGAAAAGAGCTATTTCAGCATATTAATATTATGATTCATACTCAAATACTTTATTTTCTTTTTTGATAACTAAGTATAGCTCTATCTACTTTAAATAATCCTATAAGAATACCTCAATAACTTCATCATTAGTAAATCTCATTAAAGTATTTATAAACTTTCTTGGAAATTCAAAGCAATCAACTTTAATAGAAATTTCATCATCTTTACAAATTTCTTCATCTATAAATTCATTTAAACATTTAGAAATTTTTGATTGATTTTCTAATTTCATTAATAACTTTTGGATAGTTTTACCAAAAGAATAGATATCATGATAAAAAGGTAAATTTCTCTCTCTATTTTTTGGTTTAAAACCAGGTGTATACATTTAATAACCACAAAAAGGATCAATAAAATCAATTTACTATGAAGCACCAAAATCAGATAATTAGTAATTATTATCATCAATTTTTAAGATATTTCCTGGTTTAATATCTGAATGATAAATATACTTTTATCTAAGTACAATCAATAAATGAAAAGCAGTAGAAATAAATCTTAAAATTTCTTTAAGACTAAAAACTTTTTTTGATAAAATTTCATCATAAAGACTCATTTAACATTTTTACATAACGTGAATGATATACTTAGTATGATTAACTATATCTTCTATTACATGAGAAGTGTTTATATTTAAAATATTTTATTCTTATAATTCCTAAATTCTTAATAATTCTTTTTCTTATTTCTTTAAATCATCGTCTCCATTTAATTTAATTACTTTATATGCTATATTTTGATTTGTAAATATATCTGCCTCCCCTCCTTTTTTGATATGATGGCCTAATTTAAATATTTATCTTATAAATTATTCAGAATAACTGTCAAGATGTTGGTTTTGTTCATTTTGTTAGTTTGTAATCATTCCTTTGAGGGATTCTTAAAATCTCTGAACATGTTCTTATCCAAATTAATAAGAATATTTTTATGATTTAGAAATGCAAACGCCTTTGTCTGATATCTGAGAAGTTGTTTATTAGGTAATTGTAGTGCTTTAAGGCTATTTTCCCTTTTATTCATCTTAAATTTTTTATTCTTCCATTTTGAAACTTTAATCATATTCTTGGATTATTTCTATATATTTGGGCCAATTTAAAAAAAATTATTCTAGTCCCTTATTTAATTCATCGTATTCTGCTTATTGAGTATTAGAATTATTTTGTTCATTTTAATTTTCATTTAATTTAACTTTAACTTTGTTCACCTCTACATTTTTATTTATTAATGAGCTAATTTCTTTTCTATTATTCTTAGGGATTGTTTTTTCATTGTTATCTAGATTTTTTAGATTTTTACTAGCTCCAAACAATGATGATTTCTCTTTGTTATATGTTAATGAGCTATTTTTTTTTCTATTTTTCTTAAAGATTGTTTTTTAATCGCTATCGATATTTTTTAGACTTTTACCACCTCCAAACAATAATGATTTGTTTTTGTTAGATATTTCATTTTCTTATTACAAAATTTTAATAATTCTTGCTTTTTATCCAATTAAAAGAGCATTTCTTAACTTATTTAGTTTTGGTTAAGATAATTTATTTATGATGTACTTATTTTGTTGAATGATTAATTTAGTATCATTGTCTTTATTAAATGGTTATTATTAATCAACGGAGAATTATGAATTAGTTTTAGAAACTGCCTTACTACTAACTTGTCTTGCTGCTTTAAGAAAACTAAAGATTTTAAAAAAATTTGAAAATAAATACATTTAAATATAAGTGAGAATAATATTTATTTTTTTGCCTTATTTGAATTATTGGATTTTTATTTAATTATCTCCAATTTATTAATTTATTTATTTAAAATTTAAGTTGATTTTAATAAGTTAAAATAAAAGTTTTTTATTGAAATTATTAGTTTAAGTTGAGGATTTACTTGTAATCCAAATATTATGCCATAAAACTAAAAAAACACATTTCAATTTAAATTAAAATTAAATTTATATTGCTAATTTTATTAATTAATTAAATAAAAATATATTGATTGGTAAAGAAATAATTTACCAACCAATAAATATTTATAAAATATATTTATAAATTTCTTTTTTAGGGCTAGTTTTTCTAACAAATTTAAAAAAAAATTTCAAAAATTATTATTTTGAAATAAACTGATAGAATCATTCATTTTAAGGTAAATATTTCAAATAATTAAATTAAAGTAAAAATATTAAAATATTTAGAAAATAATTTAGTATTTAAAAATTAGAAAAATATTTTTGATTTAATTAATATGTTAGAAGTTTAAAACAATTTACCAATAACTATTTTAATAGTTTAATTTGACATTCTCTTTTAAAATTTCATGTGCTAGATCCAGACTATTTTTCATTTTTAAGAGTTTTATTTAGTATTGGTCTTCTTTCTTTTAGTATGGTGAGAAATAACAGTTTTAACTAGTAAGGGATAGCTAAAATTATGCTGCTGATGCTTTATACTATTTATTATTTAGCTAATTATTAATTTAAATATAATTTGAATTAATAATTATTTATTTGCAAAATATTTAAAATATATTGTGTTTGAAAACATAAATAGTCTTTTAACAACTAGTTCGTAAATCTATTTAGACGATTATTTGTTTAAAATATATTTAAAATGATAAAAGAATTACATCCTTAGCTTAAAAGCTATTTATCCTGCTTTGGAGAAAGGGTAAGCCTAAATCAACTTTTAATAAAAATGAAAATATTAATTATATAAAAAGCCTATTTTTTAAAATTTAAAATTTGATATAAATCATAATGTTGCTTATGCTTAATAATAATTAGCTTAAAAATAATTCATGTAATAAATTATTTTATTTTTAAATTATTTATTTGTTTTGATATTTATATTAAACAGATCAACATTTTCATTTTTTTTGAATCCTATTTGTGAAATTTAATGAATTTCACTCTTTAATATATATATAAATAGCACCCCCTAAAAAAATTTGGGGTAAACAAAAAGATTATTGAGTTTTGCCCATTTTATTTATTTGGGGAGGTATATTGATATGATTGCCAAGTTTTTTTTGATTGTTATTATTTAATAAAGAATTTTTAATGATTAAATGAATATTAACTATATAATTTAATTAAGTAATCAGCTTTAAAAAGAAACAAAAGATATGTGATAAAAGCAAAGCGTATTTTTTTAATATGATAAAATCAAAATAAGCAATAGAATATGTAGAAATTTTACTCTTGCAAAGCTTAATTTTAGTTAAATGAGTAATTCCTTCTGCTAATTTGTTAAGTTAAACTTTTAATTGAGGCATTAACAGCATTAATTGCAATATCATTTTAGGATTGTTTAACATCTCTGATGATTATATTATCTTGAAAAATTAATCCTTATCGTTGCAAGATTAAAAATTGAAGGAGCTCATGTAATCTGAGCGGGCTTAAGTTAATAGCATTTTATAAATCAATTCATATTTGATTGCT